AAGAGGGGGGGGGGGGGGGGGGGGGGGGGGGGGGGGGGGGGGGGGGCTGTTCTTGTCAATTCTTTGGATTTATTTGACAAATTCTATGTACGCTGTCTTTTTTATGGATCCTCCATAAATTAATCAATGTAGAAGATGGAAACAAAGTCTTTTTTACATAAAATTCCATCGAGAAATTATATAAACTACGGCCAAGACAAAAAGGTTGAGAGTTAATGTGAAAAATGCGTGTTTGACGGTTGATTCTTTGACTTGTGAATGAGAACACTTCTGAGGCATGTATCCGGATCTGACTCCTAGCTAGCAAGTTGGAATAGAAGATATTTAACATATATATATATATATATATATAGATCTAAAAGTTAAAATTACTAGCAAGTTGATTAGTATATTATACATTATTTAAAAGGAAAATGATTATGGAATAGAATAACCAGAGACCTAGTCTGCTTATTTGACCATTTTCTAATGTAATAACAACTAATCCACTTCGTAATGAAATCAATAAAAATTAAAGTCCTAAACTTGGTTTTTTAAAATATTATTGATAATATCTACCAGCTCTTTTTACTGTCTTTGCTTCCATATTATGTTAAACTATCTCATTTTCAAAGGATTCGTTTTGTCAAAATACGTTCAAACTTAATCTCAAGATGCTTATATTCTTATGATATGATGTCGAAGCTAGTTCTGTAGCTAATCTTGAAGTTTTCTTAATGATGACACTCTTCAACACATATTGAAACCTTTATGATGCACTAATACAGTTCTCTAATGACTTCTATAGTAAGTAGAAATCTTAAAGACAAATATTTACTATGTTGAATATAATGAGTAATTTCTCGTAATAAAAATTTATCAACTATTATTTTAAATTTGACATAAACCACTATGATTTAAAGTTTACAAGTAATTTCAAAGAAAAAGCCAAAATGAAGAGAGCACATATTCAATGAAAAATGTGAAAAAAACATACGCGTCCCGTGGTTGAAGCGTCTTACAAGTTGACATCAGTGACTTATGCTGTCTAACGTAAATTACTTCTTCTTGAACATCCTTTTTCTTCTTTGACATTTCGAATGCATCTTGGTTATTATTTCCACAAACGAGCTCGTTGCGTGTGCCTCACCAAACCATATAAGTGCTAAGTTTATGCTTTAAATTCAATCAATTGTGAATTTAAATACTTTTGATATGATTGATATACTTTCATTTATGATAGATATATTATTTAATTAAGTTATTATTCTTATAAATTAAATTAAAAGAGTACCTAAATTCTAGTATTGATTTTCCTCCTCTTTTAATTTATCTTTTTTATGGGTATGTTTGCAAAGTCTAATAAGCTTATTTGGTTGTTTTCTTCTCCCCCATTTGCTAACTTGTTAATTATAAGAAGTTATGATTGTGAGATACAAGTTACATATTGATTGAATCTCAAATTATCCAAGGTCATAAATAATAATGAGACATGGATATTGAAGACCTACTATAGAGATTCTATATTGATAACTATCAGTAATTAATCTCTAATGTTCAGTACTGAAATTGGTCTTTCGATTTAAAGTCATCATAGCACCTTATATAAGGACAAACTTACTTGATAATGTTAGATATTTCTCTACCAAGGATCATTAATGCAGCATCATTCATGTACGTGAAGAGTCATTTAAAAAGATTGTGAATAAACAATAAAGAATTTGTTACTCTTAAATAATAAAATATTATGATCTACATTTCATCCACTTAAGTTGGTACCGAAATCCTTAGCCTGGATGAGTTCATAATTCGAAAAGAGTTCGAGCAGGACGAGAGATATGATCGACCAATCAAAATTCACACATTTTCATATGTTGTAATTGATTGAATTATATTGACGTAAGGATTATAATTTCATGGTTAACAAATAAGTTTAGTTTCATCGCACTACGTGATATTTTTCATAACGTGTATAGCTCAACACATTGTTAGATATCAATCGGGAAACTAGTAATTTGAATTAATTAATTTAGGAGAATTAATGATAAATTAAATAATTATTAATTAATTAATTAACGGACCGACTTATATTAAATGGATAGGTCAAGCTCATTTAAACATCTATTGATAAACTACCAGGATTTGAGTTTTTCATAACTCATATTACAACCCGATTACAATATTCATGATCTTGATACCACAAGAATGAGAAACCATAATCTCTTATTCTTGTTCTTCCTTTGGGTTACAATTGGGGAAGGGATAATTGAACAGCTATGGTGTAGAAAGATTGTGGTAGATCAAGATTCACAAAGAGGATAAGAGATCGTGATCAAGATTCTAAAAGAAATTTGACTAAAGATAAAAATTATAATCACAATTTTTATCTAAACACAAAAACAATACTTGAAGAAAATTGAAAAACATTTTAAATTTTGATGTGCATGTATAAATAAATTCCTAATAGTTGTATCAATTGTAGAAGCACCAAAAAAAATATAAAAATGAAATTAGGCTCATATTTTTGGGTGATGATCTAGCATCACGAGCCTAACTCATAGACGAATTTTATGCTTGACCCACACAAGAAATGAAAGCCCAATACTAGTCCAATATATCTTAAATAATTTTTAAATGAAGTTGGACAAAATTTAATGCTTTCCCAAAGATTTAAAAAAAAAAATGACAACAAACTATTTATTAATATACACGGGAACATATTTCATTAATTGGTAAATAAACAAAATCATTTAAATAGGTAAATAAACAAATCATTAATTTGCAAACACACACACACGTTTTCAGTTTTCAATGCATTTGAAAATGGAACCTACCTTTCACCAATTAATCCATTTAATTTGTCTTCAATGGTGAGTAATGGAATGCCACCGTTTTTCTACCTTTCACTTTCAATTTGTCAATTATACATTTAAATATACACACACACTCACACGTAAAAATTTAAATGCTGCCCAATTTATTATTTTTTATTTATTTTTTATTTATTTTTTTGGTGAATAAGGGACTTGACCATTCGTTTCTTATCTTAAACTTTAGCTTTAAAAAAAAAAAAAAAAAAACGTTTTCAAACTCCTCTAATGCTATCAACATTTCTCTACTAGAATTTGAGACTTGATTTTCATTTCTTTCAAGTTATTCGTATCATTTTCTAACATATATGCACAATACAAGAAAAAGCTTTCAAAAGTAAAGAAGGGAAAACAATATTTATCGTCCAATTTCATCCACTTCAAAGGCATCAAACGAAGGAAGATAGAGGTGTAAGTGTTATTTCGTTTTCAAATTATGAATTTTCATAAATGTTTGAATTAAATGGTACATTCGGGTACGGTGCTTCAGCACTACAATAGTTAAATGATCATTCTCTGGCTCTAGGTGTTATAATAATGCTACAGAAATTGAATTTTGTCAAAAATTCATCTATGTGTGACGGTATAAATCTGTAGTGTGAAATTTTTAATTTGAGAACGAAGTGCACCAATAATATATGTTGAGTCTCAAACTCATGGGTTAAATTTCCTTTCTACAAATTGATTTGACTTGCTTGGGGACGTGAATGATGGTAGATGGATATGTGACATGACATGGAAAAAGCCGGTATCTTGAAAATTTTAATTAAATTATGAGCGTTTAGGTTTAATTATAAACGTTTAGGTTTAATTAAATTTTTTTACGTTTAGGTTTAGGTTGAAATCATATCGATTCGATGTGTGTAGAATTTTATATGACCCTTAAGGTAAACTGTGCTGGGTTATCTATCAACCCGAGTCGTTGCAAGGTTCGAAAAATATTTTAGTACCCTATATGCTGCCGATGGGAACTGATTTTTGGACATATCATATTATAAGGACTTTTCAACTCCACTCTAAAATTTCACAAATTTTCGAGGTTGATAGCGAAGCAAATGAATTTATTTTGGCAATTACCGTTGAGATAAAGACTGAAACAGCAATATTACTTTTAAAGTTTTGCAAAATTTCATGTCAGTAATGGATACATGCATATACGGTATGATGGAAATACGGTGTGCCGTATAAATGGTATGATACAAATACGGTATGCTGTAAATACGGTATGTGTTAATCGAACATGTAAAGTGCATATATGGTATGAATGAATTCTTTTTTTTTTTTTTTTTTTAAATTTTTTTTTTTTTTTTTTTTTGAAATTGTTTTCTTTTAGTATTAAATTATATAAAAAAATAAAATTTGAATTAAATTTAAAAAAAATTTAATCTTTATACCTTACACTAAAAATATGGTAAATTAATTTACGACTAATGTACAATTAATCTTGTGACGTTTCGATTCATGTTGATTGTGGCGTTACATCAATTGCCTACTTTTTGTTATTTAGAAGTAATTTTTAAAATCTTGGGAACAATCAATAGTCGATTATTATTGATTTCTTGTTTCTATATTTTAAGAAAATTAAGTTTCATGCTTTAAATCTTATTTTGAAAAGAAAACAAATTTATGATAAAAAAATTGGACTGAGAGCGATTGGCGACAGCAAGCATTGTGCAGCTACAACATGCCCTGCATGTTGCAAAAGGACAATGCCAACGTCTTTTTAAGGTTTGGGTTGATTTTGGGATAAATTGGTTTAGATGATTTAATGGTTAGAAATTTGAATTAATTTTACATATAACATTTGCAGGTAAAAATCCTCGTTAAAATACTTAAGTCATGTTTATTATTCACCTTTCATCATTATAGTAAAAAATTAGAATCCCTCGTTTATGTTAGCTTGTAGAGTACATTCAAGGCTAGTCCATTGGAGATATGTTTGACACTACAAAATATTATATATTTTTGAACGATCGATTTTACTTATATTTTATTACATACACTCATTGAGATAAATTCTAAAGCATAATTAAGCTAACATATGTATTGTGTGAAGACAATGAATTGTCAAATTAATAATCTAGGAGC